ATATTTTTAATATCTAATATATTTTTAGATGATAATTTATTTTAACATATATTTTATAATAAAAATTTTAAATAGAATATAAATCTTTGATCTTTCTTATTTTGATTTTTTTTAATCAACATATATAATCTTACTATTTTTATTTTTTTAATTAATATATATAAAAGAAAATATAAAAGAAAATTGATTTGTTTAACATTATATTTTATATGTATGTATTAATATATATAATAATAATAATAATAATAATAATAATAATAATTAAATTTTTAAAAATTAATTCGTTATTAAGAAATATTTTTTATCACATAAGAGAATTAGTCTCCTTAAAATATTTGAAAGACATGAACTTTTCCTTAAAATTTGTATTTTATACATACAATAAATATATATGTATATATTTATTTAATCAAAATATAATTTTTATTTTTAAAATATAATATTTTTTTAAATAAAAAATTATATATATATCAAATGCTAGTGGGGGCAAGTGCCCCCACTATGTGTAATGTAGATCCGTCCCTGATTACAACTCACAAAGTATCTCTTATTATTTTAAGCTTATATAACATCATGTGGTTTAAACGCGATATTTAAAGTTGTACCTATCATATAAAAAATTTGATATTAATTTTATTAGAAAGTTAAAATAATTATATACAACTTTTATGTTAACTTCAAGAGTTGATTTTACTATCTATTATTTTTTTTAAATTACAAAACTACTATATTTAAGCCTAAATCTAACATTTTGACCTTCACTCACTAATTTTCTCATAACTTGAGTTATAGACATCTTTTTTGGGTGATTCTAGTGCCATTGGAAAAGATAACATCCAAGGTGACAACTTTTATGAATATCATGAAAATTAATTTGGTCATTTAAGGGTCCATGCAAGGCTTACAAGTTACAAACATTACTTTTTGCATACAAGGCGTCAAACTCATCTTCTAACTCACATAACCAAATCATGTTTTAACATTTTTATGTGATTCTTGATTCTAAACTATAGCCTTATCTATTTTCCAACCCAAGAAACACAACTCTATTTGATTAATCATATAGAGAAAAATCAAATAATTACTAAGGTATGTTTACTTAACCTCATTTAACTCCAAATCATTATATTCACACAAAACCTGTAATTCATACAAACCTCTCCAATTATCACATAGCCCTAACCATCAAATATTCATTACATAATCAAGTTTAAGTACTTGTGATACGACAACATGAATCACATAATTTCAACTAATTCATCAAATGTTTTCAATTACAAATCTTAAAAAGGCTTAAGGGTCATTTCACTACCCATATCCCTCATATACATCCATAAGGTGAGACATTCCCACTCCCTATTTACCAAAGATGACAACCTTTAATGCAACAAGCATGATTTATGCTATTATGAGACTATTCCACACACTCTTCAGGATTTTTCTCTAGATTTTTCCTTTACAAACACTTTAAGGATTTAAAAATTGACGTGTATAATATAATCTTCCTCTTCTCTATTACTAATAAGGCTTCGAGTTAGGTTTAAGAGTTCAACCCAAACTCCTTTTTCTCTCCATAATTCTTTTTATTTATTTATTTAGTAAATTTTCATTATATTACTGGTCCAATTAATTTAATTAATTAAGAAAATATAATTTAATTTATTTATGAAAAATTGGAAGTTACTAATTATTTTTGAGCTTTTTTCTTTTTGTTCCTAACAAATGGTATATCTTATCCAACAAGTTTATAAGCCTTTTGAAGGTTCTTACTTCCTGTCATTACACTTATCTTGCTTCTTAGTAGTTTTCTCAATTTCTTCTTCTTAATAGTTCTCAATTTCTTCATATGTTTATTCTTCATTAGTCATCGCTATCTAATGACAAGACAATAGGAACATTATATGACACTTAATGTATCACATCAATGTTGCAAATGAAATTAGATAACAAAATTACATCAATGACAAAATTCAACTTAAGATTTATTTTCATCAAAATTTTCTTAAATCTCATAAATAAATGGACAACTCTACACAAATTGAAAACCAAAATAGTATTTAAAAGTTAAAGGAAACAAAACTCAATTTTCAATAAAAAAAATCATTTCAAAACATATAATTTTACACTTAAAGTTTCACATAGTCCCAAATAACTTAAACATAATAAGAGCAATCAAATAAGAACGTGATAATCATCTAAATGGAAAAGAGTTCAAAAGCTAAAGCTTGAGTGATAAATCAATCCTAGAGGAATCAGAACAAGAGGTTTCTTCTTGCTTGGAATGATCACCACCCATGTTGCTCAAAGTTGGCCTATTCAAAGTCGAATTTGAATTGGTAGCAATATTGGTAGAAACATCTCCAAGGAAGGGAATGAGTCCAATAGTACCAAGATCATCTTTTCTCCTCAAAGTTGTGTCACTCCCAAGAACCCTAATTCCACTATTTCCATCCAAACCCTCCATCCTCAATCTATCAAGAGAAGGATTTAGCATCTCTTGTCTTGACCACCCTTGACCAAACCTAAAACCAAGTGGAAATGAAGGATATGATTGCTTATGAATCATAGACTCCATTCGAATTCCAAGTGCCTTATTATAGGATCCATAATAAGAGTGTGTGGGATAAGGGTAATAAAGAAAATGACTGTTCCCAAAAGCACTAGCATCAATCTCTTGGCGATGCTTTGCAAGAGCACGCTCTTTCTTGTGGGCATTTTGGTGCCCTCCCAAAGCTTGTGAAGAAGAAAACTCTTTCTTACAAAAGTTACACGAAAAAGTCTTAGCCTCCAATGATTTCTCTTCATTGTTGTTCTCATATCTCCCTTCAACCTTGCAAGAAGATGAACTCTTTGTTGGGGTGAAAAAATCTAATTCCACATTGGACCCATGAATTGGTTCATCCTTGGAGAGCTTAACAAAATCCAATATTTTGCGAGAATTGGAATTTGAAGCTTGATCTTGTTCATATTTGGCATTTTTCCCCTTCATTATCACCTCAACATTATTCTCTTCTTCAACACAAGGTTTATGGGAAATGCCTTCAGAGGTGGCAGAAATGTTAGAGGCTTCGGATGGACAACCTTCAAAACCACGTGATGATGCCATGACACAAAGAAGAAATGATACAATTCACTATTTTGGATTTGCGGGAGTGGGTTTGCATAGCTAGGAGACATGACCATGGCTATTTATTTAAAGATTTGAGCTAATGTAAATATCTTTCATTGATAAGGAAAAGGATCTCATGCATTTCACAATTATCATTTTGCATCGCAAAAGTTTGAAAAGGTGTAAGCAAAGATTACACCATATGTGCGTGATATTTGCATAAACAAAGATTTATAAATTGATTTTAATTACACGGTTTCATATGTCTAATTCCATAACAAACATGTGGCTATTTACTCAAATAACTTCTATGTAGTTCATTTTGATGTCAAATAAAGTATCCAAATTAAAAACTTCAAAATTACTTGTTGAGGTAAAATTACTTGTGTGTTCAAGAACTTTTCTAGCAAAAAAATCGTTGGAAATATTTTTGGGATATAATTTTTGCTTCAATAATGTTTTTTATTTTCTAAAGAGATTTTAACTATAAAGTCTAATGTGGCAAACAAGTAGTCAAATAGTTTAAATCTGTCTATAATCAACATATGGATATGATTGCTCAAAGAATACTATCATAACTTCTATGTAGCTCAAATTTGATGTCAAAAATGTAATGGGAAAAATGATGTTAAAGCGAAATCCACAACTTCAAAATTACTTGGGTAATCAAGAGCTACTCTAGTAGAAAAATCAATTTATGCAATTTTGTAATATAATTTTGGCTTAATTAATGTTCTATATTTTTCTAACAAATTTCTTATTTAACTAAATGCGCGTGTTGCCCCCAATTGGTTCAAAATTTCAAATATCCTTAGTAGTATAGTTTCTATGGATGAAAACCCATCATATTAAACTAAAATAAACTATTCTAACCATATTTATTCTCTACCAAAATTAGGTTAGTCCAAGTGAAACTAATCATAGATTCCTTAAGATTTTAGGTTTTATATGTTCGTAACAATTTCCTTATTTTCCTAAATGCACTTGTTGCCCCCAATGGATTCAAAATTTCAAATATCCTTAATAGTATACTTTCTGTGGAGAAAAACCCATCATATAAAACTAAAATAAACTATTCTAAAACCATATTTATTCTCTACCAAAATTGGGTTATTCCAAGTGCAACTAATCATACATTCCTTAAGATTTTAGGCTCACATTTTAAAGATATAGAAAAAAATGTGATTAGGAGAAAAAGTTCTATTAAAATGAACCAATTAAATTTTTCAATAAAGATTAATTATTATCAATATAATAAGAAGATAATCCCCACCTAATATAGTAACAAAAGAATACCATAAATTTTCTCTCAAGTTTGTTTTCAATGTATACACTTGTATACTATAAATCTAATGGTCATCGTCAATGAAAGGTTTTAAGGGTTTCTTGTGACATCATCTACTCTACATACCATAAATACTAGAGTAAATAAAAATAAATAAAAAATATTTTGCTAAAGAAAATCTAACATGTTCAATATAGAATGTATTACATTTTTAACAAAACAAAACCAGTTAACATCCAAATGAAATCTAATACAAGGAAACTACCAATTGTCTCAAAACATAACAAAAGAAGACAATTTCTAACTAAGTCCCTATGTCACATTCTATTAGAGCATAACCTTTCTATGAGAACTAAGCCTTGTCACCAACATCCTCAACATCATGCTAAAAATCACCTACTATAACAACATACAAGAAGAACACACAAAACAAGGGGGTGAGAAACATCTCACTTTGGCTCATGGCATAAGATGTTGTCATGTAGCCAATTATAAACAAGACATATATCAACATAGTATAAGCATATTGATCATATAAAATATTCCATTCATTCACAATGTAATAACTAAATACCACTTAACATTAAGATGAATTATACAATGGATACGGACTGCATGTTATCATACATGTGGTGTCAGCAAAAACATCAAACATCACACTTGTGCATTAATGCTAGCAATACACATAGAGTAACCTATGAGTACATGTCAGGTCACAACCTCAACGCACTATCACTAGGAGTATATACTACTAGGGTTTGGTCGAGATAGTTGAGTTGTGCAAGATATATCCTATGCACACAATGAACAAGATTAGGACTTCCAAACTGAGCTATCCCTAAGGATTAATCCCCAAACTTTTTACACAATAATGTCTTTCTTAGCAGTGTATTCTATATCAAAAACAATTTTATGCATATGATGCATATCAAACAGACTTTATGGATAACATTTTAGATGATCTCATTAATCCGCACATCAGACATCTTGTCATATCATATCATGGCTAAGCTTCGCTTAGACTTCTTATCATATGATCCTCACAAGATCCAAACATATCAACTATGTTAATGTCAAATCACATCAATCAACTCATACATAGATTACAATGTATCATATCAATAGCATACTCAAACACTACAACCAATTATCAACATTAAGTAGTATAATGATTACATAACATCATCTGATACACCTTAAGAAAGAGTCTTTATGAGATTATCTAATCACATGCTAGCACCTCTATCATAATCACTAAGAGATCAAGTCATTAAGAATTTAAATCAATAGCTTAACTAGCGTAGTAACTTTATCACTGTCACACATTAAGTCCTTAGGCATTGCTATCATCAAAATACCTCAAATTGTTAACAATTAACTCATATCATAACTTATTTCCTGCTATCATTTCTCATGATTTCTCCTTCCTAATCACTAATATAGATGCTTCAAAGAATTCATAAGATCAACCACATAGAGGGTAAAACTATTCATTATCACCATTCACAAACTACATTTACATAACTTAATCTTCTAAGACATCAAATAGTCCAAACACATTATCTAGAGCTATAAGTATGATATCAAGTTGATCCTAATTTTCTTAGAAATCTAAGACAATTATCTCCAGCTTCTGTATTTACCTCAAGAGCTAATTATTTCATCTACTATTTTTTAAAAATTCAAAATCATAATGTTTTAGCCTAAATCTAATAGTCTGACCTTTTCTCACTAATTTGATCATAATTTGAGTTTTAGACTTCCTTTTTAGGTAACTCCAATGGAATTTGAAAGATAACATCTGAGGATACAACTCATATGAAGCCACCAAAGGCTAATTCAATCATTTTGAAAGCTTGCACGAGCGTGCCAGTTGCGATTCAACACAGACTTTTCAACACCGGTCGCATAGGTGTGCAAGATTGCACGAACATGCTAGTTACTACCCTATGGTGAAATTCACTACAACAAAGTGCAAAAATCGCACATGATGAACCTAATATCCCAAAATTCCAAACCAATCAGTAAAAATCACGATTAAAGCTTAATGTTATTCTATTATACCATTAATCACTCTAATTCAACCTCAATTTCATATTCTAATTACATACTCCTAGTAACTACTCACATAATTAACAACCATTTAGGATTCCCACAAGAACCCACAGGCAATCCAAACTTCAGAATTATACGTTCAATCATGAAATTGGAGACATGTACAACTACATAACATCAAATAGAACGATAAGGAATCATATAAAAGAACAAAAACATGTAATGTAATCAATTGTTAAAACCCCCTTCATACAATACAAGCAATAAAGAAGAGATTAAAAGTCAATCCTACTACCCAGCATACATCCCACATTTAGAGCGAGACTACTCATTCTCCTTTTAACTTAATGAACGCTTGATAAAGGATGTGGTTCTCCAGGGTGTTCTCCTATGAGTTCTAGTTCTCCTATCCATTCTTTAGAGAATGTGTAATATGAAAAATAAGAAGTATAAAAATAAAAGAACTATCGTAACCTCCATTTTAAAAACTTAACATACACTTAACCTTTCAATAAAAATATCTTAATCATAGTTCTCTTTTCCTTTCTCTCAAATATTAAAATTTATAAATAAATAATATATTAAATAAATATATTTCTCCCAACACAATTGTACTATCCGTACCGAGAAGCCGAGCTCCGAGCTCGGCACCACGGCACAAGACGATCTCGGACACGTGCCGCGTGACGTCAGCTCGGCACTTAAATAGATCATAACTGATCTTAAGAGATCTCGGTCCAGACGGGATCTATTATCTATCAGATCACAACTAATCTCAGGCTCAAGGCCCAACGCAACCCTAATTCACACTAAGGTACATGTATTATTTATACGAGACCATACTCATACAAACCCTAGCTTTTAGCATCGGAGTCTCTTTTGCAGGTACCACCCCCATCTTGGAGCACAAACGTACTAGTGAAGGAGGCTCACCAATCTTACTTAGAGGATCATCTCTATAGCAGATCTTCGATAAGAACATTTGGCGCCCATCGTGGGGCCGATCAAGAACAGCTCTTATCGGCCTTTCTTATGGTTTTCACCAGAAGCCATAGCAGACGTGCAACCGACGACCTAGATCACTCAACTACCATGGATAATGACGCCGCAACATTGAGTAGGCTGATCGACCAGGTCGAACAGATGCGGCAACAACACGACGCCGATCTGCGCAACATACGTGCCAAGCACGAAACCGACCTAGCGGCGATGCGGACTGCTAACGAAGCTAACCTAGCGGCATTGCGCGCCTAGAACTAGCGCATTCACGCTCAACTCCCTCGGCGTCCCTCTGATCAACCCCCTCGGTCGAGTCATCTAAATGAGGAAGAAGGCAATTCGATTTCTCCACCCCCAGCCTCAACTAGAATTCCAACCCCCAGACCTGCCTCACATCGGTCTCACGTACCGATACACAGGTCAACACAGAACGTCAACAACGCCCATGCCCACGACACGGGGCATCCGGCGACCTTTCGCCCTCATCCATTCATGGACGACATCATGGAGACACCACTCCCTTTCAGGTGGAAGCCTCTCCATATCGACCGATACGTCGGCACGACAGACCTAGATGAGCACATCGATATGTACACCACACAAGTAAACCTCTATACTAATGAGGATGCAATACTGTGCAGGGTTTTTTTGACCTCCC